GGTCAGTGAATTAGACTAAACAGGAGTCTGACCTCCTGAGGAGGCTTCATTATTCCCCACCAAGCCTAAGCCTTGCAAGGTCCGTGTTCTTGAAGAAAGGACAGACCAGGCCAAGGCCAGCCCCTCCCACTGCTCTGTGCGCCTCCCTCTCCGAGGGCCCCCCCGCCGGCCTTGAGTCTGGCCATGTTCCCTCTCCTGTAGAAACGAGGCCTGGAGGACACCCTGCAGGACGCCAGGCACTGGCACGACCTGGAGCTGCAGAGCCTGGGCGCGGTGGTCAGCAGGCTGCAGGCGGAGCTCCGGGAGGCGCGCGCCGACGCCGAGCAGCAGCTGCGGGCTCGGGAGCACCTGCTGGCTCGCAGGTGCCAGCTGCAGAGGGACGTGGCCTCCTACCACGCCCTGCTGGACAGGGAGGCGAGCCGGTGAGTCTCTTTTCTTACTTAGCATTAAAGGAACACAACTCATCGGTTTAAAAAATTTCTTTTCAAACACTATGGAAGTAATTAAGATAGATGAAACCCCTCCCACACTCCCCAAAACACCCACACACTCCCACTCCCATAGCCTAGCTCTGTCCTTCCAGGATTTTTCTATCCATACGTACATATATGCACAAATATAGAGACAAATATATATTATAAATATGCATATATACATATATGTGTGTACCCCTGTTTATAACCATATAAGCAGATATACACATACACACATAGACATACCTAAGTGTTCAGACGTACCTAGTGCAGCAGGTCCTCCAATAAGGTTGTTGAGTTCATCATCGTTTCATTATGATGAGGTGCCACAGGAATTTAACACCTTTTTATATCAGTTATTCTGCAGTACAATGGGTTTCATTTTACACCCTTCCCTCATAGTTCCCAGAACCTATTGACAATGTCACGTGAGAACTTACTGTACATACATGGTATCTGTTAGGAATGTTTCCAGCTGCATGCAATGGAGCCTAATTAATGGGCCTATAGACCGATGCACCTGAAATGTAATGTGCACCCAAAACACCCAAACCCTGGGCATCTTTTTAAAATGCAGATTCTGCTTCAGTAGGTCTGGGCTGGGGCCTGAGATTCTTCATTTCTAACAAACCCTCAGGCAAGGCCTATACGGCTGGCCCACAGACCACACTGTGAACAGCAGGAGCATAAGCCACGTTTATCTAAGAGTTCCAGAAACGAGGTGATCTAGGCTTCTCAATGGTTCCATTAAGGTCCCAAGCTCTTTTCGTGGTTCTGATATGCCATTGCCGATATATTGGCTTTTTGTCTTCATCTTTGTCACCCGTGGTTGCCAAATGCCTGCCGCAGCTCCAGACATTATGTTCTCATTCATGACAAGGAGGGGGAAGGAAGAGATGGCAGCAAGAAGGCCTTTCCCTGGGTAACTTCTTTATCAGTCAGTGAAGGAAAAATGTTTTGAGAAGCCCTCCAGTGGTCTTCCTGATACCTCATTGACCAGAACCTGTTCGCATGACCATACCCACCTGCAAAGGGTGCTGGGAAAGCAACTTTTTAACTTTTCCAGCCTCCGTACTGGAGAGAGGCAAGGGGTAAGAATGACATATATATGTATAAGTATGTATATGTGTGTATGCATGTGTATATGTGCATAGATACATACATGCAGTCTTTTTTAACGGGTAAGGATTCCAGGAGCATATGCATGAGTCTTGGGACTAGTTCCTGGCCAGCTCTTTAAGGAAATGCAAGCCTTTATTTTATCATCATTCTATATCTTCATAGCTCCCTCCCAGGTCCTTCTGTGGCATGCATTGAATAAGGAATAGAATATCTGTTCTAAGAGGTAACTTAGCAATTATATAGCCCAACCTCCATCAAAAATGCAAAGGCCCAGAGCAGAAAAGGGGTTTTCTGTGATCACAGGGGCGGTGGAGGTAGAGCTGGGGCTGGTGTCAGGCCCCCCGGCTCTCTCCAACGCGCTCTGTAACATCCCTTTCTTCAGAAAGCCAGAGGGCCACAGGGAAGCAACCTAACCCTTCCTCCTTTCAAGTGGAAAACGTGTCATCCAGCTCCTTTCCAACTGTCTTTTTATTGATTCGATTTCTGTTCATTATGAAGTCTAGATGTTTCTCACCAAGCTATTTTTCCGTATGCCTATGAACATCTGAAGAAATGCACAATTTGTTTTAACCATATACAGAAAGTAGTGAGTTAGGCTGAGTTTTCTTCAAGAATATAAGAATACCGCTTAGTGAGAGCCTGCTGTGTGCCAGCAGTTTTAACTTCGTCATCTTCATTTCCCCTGAAACCCTGCCAGGACTACATCTTTATCCCCACTTTACAGATAACCAACAAAGCCTCGGAGAGCTTAAGTCCTTTGCTCAAGATCACACAGCTAATAACCATGGAGCAGGAATCTGGAACCCAAGTTGGCCCTGTGGGGGTAGCTTAGCTGATTAGAGCGTCATCTCGATTCAATCTCCAGTCGGGGCACATGCAAGAAGCGACCAATTATGCTTAAATAAGTGGAACAACGAATCAATGTTTCTCTCTCTCTCTCTCTCTCCCTCTCTCTCTCCCCCCCCTTCCTCTCTCTTTCAAATCAATTTTTAAAAAAAGAAAGACAAGAAAAGAAACCCAAGTTGAGTTGTCCCAAAGGTCAGCTTCTTTCCACGAGACTCCCACCTTTCCTGTAATCTTATTGCTGTCTCTCTACGAGGCTGCATCACTCAAACGTGTTTTTGTTTGTTTCAGCTAGTGGAGAAACTTCCTCTTTTCATGAAGAAAATGCTGCCTTCTCACCAAGTGGCCGGTGAAGCTCCTTGAGGAGTCCCCCACCCCATCTACC